AAAGAAGACACGTGCGTCGCTTTGGATTTCATAACTGGCCAATTGAATTTCCTTGATTGGTCAATCCAAGTGACGCAGATTAAAGCATCGCTTTATCACACATAAATAAAGCGAACAATTTTATTCGACTGTTTCTTTACTCACGAAAAAAATTAATTAAATTCATTATTATTTTATCAGACAGCTTTAGTACTTACAAATAATGGGCGCGTTTATTTTCTTAATTTTATTACGTCGGTTTATTAATTGGGCACAGTGAAAACAATGCCATTTACTTGAGTTTTATTATGTCACTTTATTACTTGAGAAGTCAATGAATAAGTTTGCTTAGAATTTCGTTAGATCACTGTATCACCTGAGAACAGAAACAACGATATCATGTTCACTTTTATCATATTTCACCCTCTTCCGTTGCAACGAAGGAGTGAAAAAGTTATATCATCTGGAGTTCGTTTTTACCCAGTGGAAAAGTATATACCAAGGGACAAATTAGAGAAACGAACCGCTTATTCAAAAAAGAAAAAAGTTTTTTCACGCGAGGTTAAAAATGTATCGAGGATCGCAATAGCCGAATTTTTAACACTGAAATTATTTCAACTGTGGATCTTGCAGTTTCCAAAGTTTCGGAGATCCCTCTTAGCTGCCAATACCAGCAATTCCCTTCTCCATCTTTGTACAAGTTACCTTGTTCTTACAATCTGCGACAAAGAGATGATACGCTTTAAAATTGAATGATTTTTAGTTTTCTAACATTACCACGAACGTTTCGTATTTTCATACATTGTCAGTAACATCCGTATAAACATACACGAATGAAATGAATTTTTAGTTGCGTGTGCTCTCATTTGGCTGCGCTTTATTTCCATAAAAATTCTTTTGTCTTACATATAAAACTGTTTGGACTTGTGAAATTCACTCGTTGATACTGTGTTAATAACAGATCATGAATACTAGAACAAATGAATACATTAATACTATAGCTAACGTATATCGCTGCATAACAAAATAGGATTCATTTCAACCCAGCTATGATTTTTAATGTAAAATACTCATGCATGAAGAAGTTCACACAAAATTTCTCGACGTACATATTTTTATAGAATCAGGAGTTGTAAAAGAAAAAATCGGAAGCCGTTTATTTTGACTGGTTTGGTATTTCTACTGTCAAAATTATAAATTGAAATTACATAGATTTTTTTTATAGGAAATCATTAAATGAACTTCTTAAGGGATAATGGAAATATAAAATGTGAAAATTAAAAAAAAAAATTAAAAAAAATGTGAGGAGGCGTTTCGTCCCAGACCCGCTAGTGGACTCATCAGTAGGGCTATCCAAGCGGGTCCTGCCTTAGACGCGACGGGAATGGGCTGGACGGAATTGGAGGAGTAACAGTATCGGACAGACTCAGGTGGATGGGTAACAATCTAATTGTATTACCACACGATAAGGCATCGTCTGCGCACGAGAAGTCTAATGCGCAGTTGTTTTGTGCTTTATCGAGCCGTAGATGCAGCTGCCTAGTATGGTCTTTTCTAAACCCTGAACTTGTCAACGGAATAAACTGTGAAATGTACTCTATTGTAGTAAGAATCTATATATACTAATTTTGATAGTGGTCTCCCCAAATTGACCCTCGGTAAAGAGGCTTGGTGTGTAAGGCATTTTCAGTTGATCTGTTGGAGTCGCGTCTCGCGGCTATGGCGCTCCTCCAAGAGACCGACTTTGGTTGTCGCCATACTAGGAAAGGAACTTCCGTCCCACTACTGCACCCCCATGCATCTACCTGATGACCGATTACGTTACTCTACCTGCGCTCCGATTGTACTGGTCACGGTTTCGTAATACGTGCCCGTTCATCGAAATAATACTAATATGAGAACGGGCTGGACAGGAAACAGTGACGAGGAAGGTAGGTTTCGAAGCGTTTCGTCCAGACCTCGCTAGAGTGGACTCCTCAGTAAGGCATTCTAGCGAGGCCCTGCCCTAGACGCGGGGTTGAGGATAGGACGACTTAAATTTGTAAATATACTAATTGGAGACGTTTGAGTTCTTGCGAGAAACAAAGCCCTCTGGCGTCGAGTGACGGCGATATCCTTTGCCGGAATTATTCATTCAACTGTGAATATTTCAAAAAGTCAATTCTTTTTTTTAAATTTTGACTAATTCTCTTATTTTACGTGAGAAAACCGTAACGTACTTCTGACAGAAATACGTCTACTATTCCTTACGTCTGAATTATTACTATGTGTCGGATTTATAATCCAGAAACAGCCACTTAAAATAGAGGTTCCGAGCTTTAATTTGATGAAAAAATTATCGCCCTACGATGATTCTTCGTGGAGTTATCGTCAATCAAAGTTGGCCAATTCTTATCCAAAATTTCTCGACGCGGGCTGCGGATCTAGATGTAAAATATTAACTTTCTACCTTAATTGCAATGAATTAAAGTAAAATTCTTTCTCAATATTTTTAGTAGGTTAATACTAATGTAACAACATTCTTAGAGTCTGTCTTGCTTTAAATCTTTCCACTGAAACAGCACTCTTAAAATCTTTCCAGTGTTTCATGTCGCACATTTTTCTTATAAATGCATAAAATCTGCAGTAGAATGTTAGTATTGTTACAAGAAACTTTAAAAGCATGTTTTTTCAAAACGATGACCATGATATCTCAAAATCTGCGTAACTATCTTCCTTCTAAAATTTGTTGCACGTTTCGCGTAGTTATACTTCTATTAACTCGCAAAGTGAAACGAATTCAGTTAATAAAAAAACACGCGTGTCGCATTTGGATCTCATAACTGATCAATTGAATGTCCTTAATTGGACAATGATGGCAGCATCGCTTTAACACCCGCAAATAATGCGAACAATTTTATTGGACTGCTTCATTACACGCGAACGAAGCGATTAAATTCCTTATAATTTTACCAGACAGCTTTAATACTCGCGATTAATGGGAGCGGCTTTATTTTAATCTTATTACATCGCTTCATTACTTGAGAACTGTGCGAATAATGTCATTTCACTTTTATTACGTCTCTTTGTCACTTGAGAAATAAATGAATAAGTTTGCTTAGAATTTCCTCAGATCGCTCTATCTCCTGAGAACAAAATCAACATTATTGTTCTCATTTTATCACATTCTACCCTATTTTGTTTCAACAAAGGAGGGAAAAAGTTTAGTCGTTCGGCATTTGTATTTTCCATTGGAATAATTCGATACCAAGGGAGAAATTAGCTGAGAGAAACCAAGCTTGGATTCGAGATACGAGTAAGTTCTTTCACGCTTGGTTAAAAGTGGATCGAGCGACGTATCAGAGAAATTTTTTCTAAACTTTCCAAGATGCCAGTTATCTGCCGGCAGCGGCAATTCCCTCCCTCATCTTTGTACAAGTTGTCTGATTTCTATTTCTTTAACGTTATCATCAAGGTCTCGTTTCTCTACAAATTTGCAAAAACACTCGTACAAACATTCACGTACGAAATAAATTTCTAATTCAGTGTGCCATCATTTCGTCGCACTTTGTTTCCATACAAATTCTTTTATCTATCAAATAGAATTGTATTTGTACTGGAGAAATTCAATTCCATGTCGTTTGTGTGCATTTATAGCGGTGTTCCGCATGTTTTGTATACGAAGATAACTTCGATTGTAATGCGAACTAAATAAAAATCGCTCGATTTTATAGTATAACATCTCTTTGTCGCGGACTGTATTTTCAGACGTGTTGCTCGAGATCCGAAAGGAGCCAGAATTTCATTCTTGCGTGCATAGTGATTCACCGGAGCAGCATGGTGTTTGCTGTCCGGGCTTGTTAATTGAACGTAAATAGCAGATGAAACGTGCGGCCAAGGAAAACAGTTGTTATTCGATTTGGCCGCGTCGTCAATTCGGCGGGCTGTTTGCATAACTGCAGGAACGAGCCGCGAGCTCGTTCGCTATCGTTTTTATGCTTATAAATATTCGAAACACAGAGAGCCGCTTGCGAAATTGGCTTCAACCGTGCTCTGATCTCTATCAATTTTTCTGTGCGCCATGTGCCTTTCACCGTCAGCCTCATAAATTACTCGGCAAACATTTCCATCGTCCGTCGAAATTCGGGAAATTTGTTGTTCGGCAAAAATCTCGTTTGCTGGAACGAAAAGTTCGATGGACGTTTTCACCTTGTTAAATGTTGCTTTGTGAAACGCGAGCGCGGCGTTCCGGGATATGGCGCTTCATGTGTTCGTCCAGTGATTTTTCTATCGTATAGTTAAATCGTCATACCAAAAACAAAAAGATCTACAAGACTGTAATCAACTCAGTACCTGGCGAGTACCTACCTCAAAAGTTTATACACAAATTGGTGCAACAGATTTATCGATGAAAACGCAACTGATTTTTACATACATTTCTACTTTCATAGATTATTTAGTTCAGATGAAAAGATATATATATTATTGCAAATATATACTAATATATATATTATATATTTTTTATTATATACTATATATATATATGCTATATACTACATATATTTTATATATACTAAGATATATATTGTATTATATACGTATATTTTTATATATACTAATATATATTATATATATTTTGTATTATATGTATGTTTTTATATACACTAATTTTTATATACGCCGATTTTAACGAATAAGAAATCAACTGAATCCGAATAAATGAAAGCATTTATATCTCTCACGCGATAAACAGAATACATAGTGACTTCTGCTTGAAAATAAACGAAAGGTACAATGATGATTGGTCATCCAGCAGTAACTGGCTGCACCGAACCACCTGAGTACCTGAATCAATCTCATTAAACGAGCCACGCCAGCCCGCCGGTGCAACAATCTTCAGCGAAGTAATACCGTTGCTTTTTCTTGTTCCAGGAAACATGGTGCAGAAGATGGTGGCACATCTCCCAGCGAAGTATTTCCGTGACGACGAGCTCTTTCGCTCCGAGCTTGAGCCCGATTTTAGCAAAGGGGTTGGAGGATTCGCGAAGTACCTCAAAGGAAACGAAGATATCGAGCACGCCGAAGGAGAAAACGGAGGGCAGCCTGATTCCGCAGGGCGCTCAGGATGTTGGTGAGTGACACGACACAATGGAAAGAACCTATTGATCCAGGGCGCGGTGAGCAAGCGTAATCAAAGAGGCTTTTCCTTCGAGGACCATTCGCAGCCGAGCGGTTGCTCTAAGAAATCGCTAAAAATTGTCGTATCAAAGTTCAAAGTACAGTGAATTCTCCCCGATTTTCCTTCAGCTTGCAAACGAAAATCGTCAATTTGGGAAGGGAGATACGATTGTTCGAGCCTCGCGCTTTGTATATTTAAGAATTATCCTTTTACAGTTGTTAATTCGTTTAGGGCCGAGTGTATCACGTATGGGTGACACTGATTTTTTAATTAGGTTTCTGAAATTCATTTTTATTGGAATATATTGAACGAATTAAATGTTACTCGGATTTGTAGAATATAAAATAGCTGAATCAATATTTCCTGTGGTAAATTTTTACTTTCTAGTTTTGGTGTCGTTAATTAAATGATTTTTTTTTAATTTATTTATTAAGCTGTGAAACCCTCTACGGAGTTATTAGCAATATATTTTGTATTATATATTATTATATATTTTGTATTATATATTATTATATATTATGTTTTTATATATTATTATATATATGTATTATATATTATTACAAAATTACTATTACATATACAATATATTGTACAATATTATTACACATCACTTTGAATACATGAAACTTATCAAGTACTGTATCTAACGCTTAAGGATGCATGTCGTGCTTTTTAAGCAATTTAAAAATTATTAACAGTGGTCGAATGTATAATTTACATAAAAAGGCATCTATCGTGTAAGGGGAAACCAAGTTGATAAAGTTTACGTGTCACAGCATTACTTTCGGAGTCATATAGTGGTCACTGCCATATGGCGTGATTTAGATCTTGCTCCAAACAACCGCACTGACACTTCGGATCATCAACAATATTAATGCGAGAAAGCGAGGAGGCCAGATTGTAATGATTTGCACAACATCTGTTGGTCCAGGAAACAAAGTCTCTGGCAAGGTTCTCGTGAGCAAACCATTGTTTCGGACCCGAATTATAAAAAAAAGTTGAAGAACTTAGCACCTTTGAATTTAGCATCTTCGAACAATTGCTTCTCAGTATCATATTTCGCTTGGATTTTAAAATTTTTAGAAAAATCGGAATACGGAACTGGAAACGAACGAGCTTAATCAGAATAAAAACAAAAAAAGAAATGTCAATGTGTTTTTAGAAAAGACAATTCCCTCTGAACAATTTTGTTCGGTCCGTCAGTGGTCAATTGAAGTGCTGCAATATATTGTTTATTTACGAAGAAATCAACTGTATTGATTTATCGACCGGAAGATGCTACGATAAAGAATCTGTTCGAACTGCTTAACTTATTTTCAAAGAAAACTGGACTCACACAGATTGGCTTCTGAACCGTCCACGTGTAGACGATCCCTCGGATGATATCTTGAAACTTTGATTCCCGGGAGAATACGCGCGCGGGTACGCTTCGAGGAAGCGAAGAAACTGAAAAGGAAAACCCTGGGAATGAAATGCGAATCTTGAAAATTTGATTTGCCCCTTAAACTCTGCGGAAGGGATTCGTGGGAGGCAAGTTCGCCGGTATCGATACGAAATTTTGCTGTTCGAACGGGATGTAGGTCGAATCGGGCTTTGCTTTCGCGGCACTGCGGAAGGGCTTCGCTCGGTTTACCGGTACTTTCGTATTCCTATTCTGTAATTAGGGGTCCCTCGCGAGCTCCTGTGCTCAGCCTTTGTATAAATTTTGGTGGCCCGGCCGTGCCGCCGGCTGATCCCCGCTCGAGAACAATCTAATTTAGCGGAAAGTTAATGCTCGCCCGGGAGACAGAGTTAATAAACAATCTACGCTCGTGGCGCGGCACGTCTGATCAATCCGAGATTACCAGTAGTATACACAGTGTTTAGACCGGCAAACTCTCGCCGGAGTGCATAAGCCNAAATTACTATTACATATACAATATATTGTACAATATTATTACATAATACATTAAATGACTTTGATATTGTGTGATTTTTCGAGTTAATATTCGGCATTTAATGCTTTAACAATCGACGACTATAAAAACGAAATTAGAAGATCGATAAAAACATCGAATAATCGTATTTCCTCTTCCCAAATTGTCCATTTTCTTTAAATAATTGAAGGAAAATTAGGGAAAATTTACTGTAATTTTAATATTATCAAATTTCTTTATATTTACAAGACTGTTGATAGTTCAATCGTTTTATGAGTCAAGTAACGAAAACCAAAATGCGCTTGGTTACACAAAATGAAAATACTACAGGCTAGAAAAAACAATTTTGTATTTCCAATTAAAATGGCTCCGACTGCAATCGGAACGATTAATATTTAGCCAAGCGAAAATGGGAATATCTTCCTTTTAAATCAAGCCGCTCGATTTCCAAATAGGCAAATCTCCTATGTTTACCTGAGCGACGCCCGTGGCCCCTCGTTCTGCTTTGTCTTGTTGTCATCGATCAGTCTCGACCCCGAGTTTTTCATAATCCATTGAATACGTTTTCTTCCTTTATAAGACAGAATTTTAACACAAGGGGCACCGAGTTCGAAACCCGATCAGTTTATATTTTGTAACATTTGTTTTATAACAGTTTTATTTTATAATAATGATAATATTTAATTCACTCAAGCTCTGTACAAATTATATATAAATTTATATATATTTATATATATTTATATAAATATGTATATATATTTTTTAATTTTTGTTATAAATATATGCTTCAGTCAAGAAGTTTATAAATGAATTTCTCACGGAAACGTTTCTATATCGATAATTAAGAAAAAAGAAAATCAGGAACCAGTCATTTCGACTGGTTTGGCAATTCCAGTGTTAATTAAACTCTGTTAAAACTTCGACTGCCCCATCAGCCACGCGAGGGTGACGGAATTGTATAAAATTTAATTCCCAGAAATTAATTGATCAACGTTATTTTATTAATATAATTTTATTAATATCTGCAAGAGGTACGAGTGTTAAAAAAGCAATCAACGCCACATAACCTCGCATTGCAATTTGAATTGCATCGAATGAAATACCATAACTTTATGAAATCGTTGAGCTCCTTGCCGCGGTCGCTAAAAATGTTCTATCTCGAATTACCTCGTCCTCGAATAAAAATTTCGCGGAAATCTCTCCGAGGCGGAGACAGCGTTTGATCTGGAAGCCGAGACGAACCGCAGGCATTCATTGCATAATGAATCGTTGCTCCAGACGGTAAACGACTCGTGTTCTGTACACGACTCGTAAATAAATTACGGAACGTTTCTCGCATCGAACCGGCCGCGGCGGTCGAAATAGACTCGTTATATTTAGGTGCACCGGTCGGTCCGCCATTATTGAAAAGTTCCGCAGGGATCAACGCGCCGGCTAAAAGTTTCGCGACTTTTTAACAGGCCGTGAAACACCGACCGGCCCTAATGGCGTTCCATTACGGTCGCTTTTACGCGGCCGAAACAGCGTCGTGAATTTTTCGTTACACCGAACAAAACGGCTTGCGTCCATTAAGAACTCCGTCGGCGATCAAAAGGATGCTCCGTCAGGATACCAATCGAGCAGAGAAGGGTCTCTTAATGCAGATTTATTTCGTAGCCAGAAAATACAATTATTGAACCATCTCTCCAACCGTTCTATGTACACTCGCAGCTGGCGCCAGGGATCGAAGAGTTACGGAACTTTTTAATTGGCTTTTCGCTGTACAAGGATATTCGGGAAACCGTTTTCAGAAACTCCCGTCGCAAGTTCCGACGAGCGCCGAATGGCTGCGGAACGAATGCAAGAGAGTTATAAACGGAACAATTAGGTCGTCTCATAAGTTTCTGGCGTTCCTATTTCTTTTTAAATATCCGTGTACAGATCGTTTCAAGATGATGAAAACTTTTGAGAAAACTTTAGTCCAGAACGCGCTCGATTTTCAAGACTTTCAATCAATTAAATATGTCGCAAAAAGTATTAACATATTCGCGGCGCGAACTTGCGAGACGACCTAACAGAGTCCAAAGATACATATTTTAGCAATTAGTCGATAGACTGGTAGGAAAATATCTTTCTGTGATCAAAAGACCGCGGCGAACGTGAATTAAACGGGTCGATACCTTTAGCTACCGCGATCTAATTAACAATATTGAAGCAGCTCTCGGTCGTTACGAAAATACGGCGCCCCATTCAACGTGCTTCTAGTAGAATTAACTACTGAAATGTGCCACTTGAATTCAGCGTGGATCGTTAACGGTTCAAACGAACGTTCTGAGAACCAGTCTCCGTAAAACTTCTACCGAAAGATGTCTCGAAAATGTCCAGGGTTCTAAATTACCGAAACTTCCTCTACCGTCAAAATCCTCCCCGAAATTCTACAAGCAGATGCCTCTCGTCGAACAAAAGATACGAAGTTCCGAACTCCGGAAATCAAGAAATGAAATAGAACCGTTTCGATCCCCGAGAGACAGGTGATTGCGAGCCGACGCTCGCTCGCGATCGGCGTGTCCATGAAACATCGAACTCGTAACTGGGAAACCTTGATTAACAACTGTACAGTTCCGGGGCCAGCGAATCTCGTCGATGACGCCGGAAGCACTAGAAACTATCGACTCTCCTTTGGCAACCGTTGCCGACCGATCGCAATCGAAACCGACACTATAATACAAGAAAGTTCGCTCAGGATGCCTCGGAACGGTGGCTGTCGATCCCGTTCAGGCTGTCCTCGAGTACCTCGAACTCCTCGAACTCCATCTTGCCGAAATCGTCGGGAGTTCGCCAGTTGTTCTCGTTGACCTGCCACCTGGTCAGAGCGCTGCCTATGAACCTGCTAGGATAGGTGGACTTTGCGTCCTCCGCCGGGCCGAGCTTGAAGTCGACTTTGAAAGGCTTGCCGTCCTTGGCGTCCTCTTTCTTCGGCTCCAAGCCGATCACCACGGGCGGCTCCCTCTTCGTCTCCGTCTGATCCGTCGCGCTCTTCTCCTCTTCCAGCTCGTCGTCCTCCTTCTCCTGCTTCTCGATCGTGGTGATCTCGATGCTGGGCGTCTCCGCGATGGTGTAGCGGCTCAGATCGGGCGCCTTCTCCCTGGTCCGGCACCTCAGATGATTCTCCACCAGCCTGCCGGTCAGCTCCAACCTGCTGTCGCATGAGTTGCTCTTCACCAGCCGGAACTTGACGTAATCGTTCGACCTGTCCGCGCACTTGAACCTGTTCTCGACGACCGGCGCGATCAGAGGGCCGTTGCTCGAGTTCACCACCTTGCCGCCGTAGTAGGTCACCGAGGTGCCGCACTCCCGGATCTTCTTCAGGACGTCCTGGGAGACGTAGTGGCTGGAGTTGTGGGTGTCGTTGCCCTCGTCCTCGTGGCAGTCGACCTCCTCGTCCTCCGAGGAGATGCACTGCACTCCGCTGCCGGGATCGGTGTCCGGATAGTCGCTGGACACCCCGGAGCTGACGCTGCCGGCGTCCCAGTTGTGGTGATGGTACCGGTTCACCTTGTTCTTCGAGGACGTCGAATCGCTGGGAGACGTGTGGCCGCTCCTAGCTTCGAACGACTGGGCCAGGATCCGCGTTTTCGACTCGGAACGCGGACTGTCCAGCTCGTCCTTGCCGCCCACCACCGAAGCGTTCGAAGACGTCGACTTCTCCATGTTCTCGAACAGCCTCGTCAGGTCCTTGGCTCTGCTCGAACACCTGGACCTGGAACAAAAGAAGACGTCGCAACGCTTAGATGTCACAGTCTTCTTGTATTTCTCTTAATAACAAAGTTTAGTCAGGATTATTCCTGGCTTCTCCGTCGCCTATGCGACGCCTGTATATTACTTCTTCCGTAATAAAGAGTTTCTCTACCCGCATGCGTGAGTAAATAAATTATTAATATCTACAAAGCACCGTAAATAAGTGAACCAAGAAAGACCATTGCAATCTACTCGCACTCCGACTACTTGGCATCTGAGCTAAGGAGAGTTTAAATGAGGTTCTCACCTGGACCCTTCCTGGATCTTCTCGGAGATCTCCTCGAACCTAGCGTCGTCTATGCTGGTCAAGTCCTTCATGCTGACGCTCTTCCGATCCTTGCCGTCCCGGTCCGAGCTGCTCTTCATCTTCAAGGTGTTCTCGAACATTCTTCTAACGTTCCTGACGGTGTCCGGGTCCGGCAGTTCCTCGTCGATCAATTCCCGATTGACCCTGATAGGATGATAGAAGAAGTGCTTCTTGATGGACGACTGTTTAGGACTCTTCGTGTTGCCGCCGTCGACGCTGTCGCAGTTTCTTTCGCGGCTCTCCGCGTCCGATTTCTTCTGTATGGCGCCGGCTATCTTGCAGGTGGGCTCCGACCTGGCCTTGCCAACGTTGGACGGCTTCCTCTCGATGGTCTCGGCACGCACCGGCTCGATGATCACGACGTTGTTGTCGAGCAACAGCTCCTGGAACGAGTACTCCCTAAGGTACTGCATCAGCCCTTCGTACGTGACGTCCCCGCGGCCGCTGGTGTACATGTTCTTGCTGAACATGTTCGACTTGACGATCTTGTAGCGCACGTGGTCGAACTCCTGGCCGTCGTCCTGATGGCTCTCGATGGAGTCCACGCAGCTCTTCGACCTGGTCAAGCTGCTGTGACCCTTCTTCGAGTCGGCCATCTTCGCAGACAGAGGCTTCCCGATGCACTGGTCGTCCTCGATGCCGTCGTCCACCGATCTTCTTCGCGTGTCGCTGCCGGATTCCGAGCCGAGTCCTAAATCCGAGCTCTCGGATCTAGCCTCGAATCCCAGGCTGCCCTTCACCACGCTGCAAGCTTTGCCCAGGATGCTCGACGTCCCTTTCACGATCCTCTCGAACCTGCCCTCGTTCGGCTTGCTCTTCGGCGCGTCCTTGTCCAGCGTCTTCTGCTCGAAGAAGATCTTCGTGTTCGTCAGCGTCGATTTCGTCTCATCCTTCTCCTCGGGTCTCTGAAAAGCGCAGCAGGAAAATGAGAAGAAGGCGCGGAGGGCGCACCTGTCGGACGAGCTTTTCGTTGAAGGACGAGACGAGGATTCTTCAAGACGAGCTCTTTGCGCAGTACGAGTCTTCGTTACCAATTGCCTGACAGGCGTTGCGACGCCACTGGGACTTTCTGGCACGATTAACTCGTTCATGCGATAGAAGATTCGTTGCTGATTATATTTTTTTAAGACGATTTTTCGACATTCATTCGGGAATATTTCTAATATTTTGCAAGTTTTCCTATGATTAACGATTCAGCTACTTTTCTGCTGTCTCTAGCTAGATTGTGGCTTTTAATAGTACGGTAGAACCTCGATTAACCGAACTGGATTTTCCTTTGTTATTGAAATTTTTGACCGTTCGAAGTAACAACGACAAAACTATCAAAGGGCCTCGATTAAATCTCGATGCATCGTTTCGCGCTATCGCGTTGATAATTTATTTTAGAACTTAAAATAAGAAGAAATTAACTGTCAATTTTGAACTCGAAAAATCCAAGTTATTTGTACTTAAACCCTCGAGTCGTCTTCATCGAAAAGACCGAGTCGTTAAGGACTCGTTAAACAGCGACAGGAAACTTCAGAATAGTTCGTCGATGCAAAAATAAAACCGATCACCCAAGTAATGTCTCCCTTACTGACGCTCAGATTGTGCACTAAAATGGACAATTTGGAAAGGTTATTCGAGCCTTGCAACTCGTTTTTATAGTTGTGGACAATCAATAACCATAAAAAACGAGCCACAAGGCTCGAACAATCGTATCTCCTTTTCCAAAACTGTCCATTTTTGCGGACAATCCAAGCGTCAATTAGGGAGACATATTACTGTACAGTCGCTTTGACCTTCTTCTCCTAACTCAACCCCTCACTCATCCCCCAGCAATTTTACCGATGGAAGATCTCAGCCGAGGATCAAGAGACGAGTATTCCGTATGGCTAAAGAACTCACTTGCTCGGTGGCAGGGTCGCCGCCGTCAGGCTTCCTGTCCAATTTGGCGAGGTCGGAGGCATCGTCCTGGTCCCTAAGTTTCTCATCAGACTGCCGGTGCTCCGGCAGATCAATTTCCGGCGAGGAACGCCGGTGCCTTCTCTTGGTCACGTCGTTGTCGACGACTTTCAGCACCTGCGGCCGCCGCGACATGTCCTCTTGCTCCTCGGTGTCCGAGATCCAAATGGACTTGTAATCCTCCGCCTCCTCGACCCTGCGATCGTGTTCGTCTTCCTCCGGGCTGGTCAGCGGAGAAGAGTGCCGGTCCTCATCGGCCTCGGACAACGAGTCCTCTCCTCGATCGACGTTATCGTCCTGGAAGCAGTCCGTCGCCTTCGCGTTTTTCTGCTGCTGCGACGCTTCCTCGCGGCTCAGTTCCTCGTCCAGCTCTTCCTCCAGCTCCGGCTGAGGTTCGAGCTCGTTTTTCCGGCGATCCGTGCTGTTTCTATCTATGCTGCCCGTGCATTTCTCCTCGTCGGTCGCGTTGCTCCTCGCCCTTTTCTCGCCGGCCGGCCGCGTGCCGAAGTACTCGAGGGCTTTGAACTTGCCGCTCTTCAGGCTGTCGGTCCTCCTGCCGAGATTGTTGTTCCTCGCGTCCTCCTCGTCGAACTCGAGCCGCACGTTCGACAACGGTAACAGGTTCAACACGTCGAAGTACTCGAGCTCACCGTCGTCCTCGAAGAGGATACTGTCCAGGCTCCTGTGCTCCTTGCGCTTTCGTTTCACCTGGAACCAACCCACGAATCCGGGTCACCATCTGCTTCGCCGTCGGCTCAATCTCGCCGCGACGCGGCCGCCTGATAAATTGCTGCTTAAGGGAAACGGTCCTGTTCTGCACGAGCTAATCTCAATTTCAACCGGGCCTCGCTCGACGGAATTTCGGCTTTCCAGGTGGCCGCGCGAACTGAAAGGTTCGGGGGAACGCATCGCTCGTTGGAAACTGGTGCCGCGGCATGTTCGCTTCTCCTGCTTAGTTTATGCGAAGTTTCGGATCATATTCGGTGGCCACAAATGTGTTTGTACAGTCTTTGAAACGCAATAAATGTTTTTAAGCTGAACCAAATGACTTGACTCTTTTTTAGACCATTGGAGGACTAAATTAAAAAAAATCTAATAGACGATGACTGAAATGCTTTTTTTAAAAATTTTGCTATTACTTAGAATGCCAAAAAAACTCTCTCGTTTTTTAAATTTCTTATCTGAGCCTATAACGAAAATTTAAAAAATGCTTTCGTAAATCTTGGCGATTTGTACTCATGTTGAAAATTATATCGAAATCGGTTCACGATGTGAAAATAAAACAATCCGGGGAATTATCTGTCGATTTTTTAACACACGTTCGAGGTACCTATTTCTGTCTAGCTCTCCGCCGCTTTTAATGTAAGAACCAGCGTGGCAAATTAAATTGCTCAGAAACTGGGCAATTATATAGCAATTTTGGTATTTCGACAATTCGTGCGAAAGATAATCTTTCGAACCTGTAATAGGGCTTATCGTTTCAAGAATTACGAATTAAACTACAACGACGAGGAAAAATAATGATAAAAACAGGTTCACGGTCGATTTTTACTGCTGATCTCGCGAGAAACGTTGTTGGTCGGTAATCTTTATGGAAGATCGGGCTCATATTTCAACAAAAATGTACAATACCTCACGAATCGGAGCGGAATCTTCTCATTCGGTGAGTCATGAATTAAAATGCAGCGATAAGGAGAAACTTTCTAATAACTGTACTAACTTAATTCGCTGCAATAATTGTTCTGTAGATTAAGATATCTCGTGCATCCGTGAAGTGTATCAAAAATTACTCTCCAATCATGTCCATAAATATCGTGATCCCTAGATTGCGAATCTTTATGCAAAATAAAATTCATCCTCATCATCAATTGCAATAAAAAAGGCTCGAATAACAATGTATTTCTTTGACGAATAATTTCAGTGAGTAGAAAATAATGCTTAGACATCCCCGACACCAATTTTACCAAGCTTTAAAAATAGCTGAAATGATTTTCTTTGCAAGAACGACGTGATTGAATTTATCTAGATTTTATGCGATCTAAAAAAGACTTGCCTACCCATTTCTTTTATAAATGCATAAGATCCGCAGTCCAGCGATCACCGTGCAAAAGGTGCTGCTACCACCGAAACGGCGCCAGTTCCCATGGCGATTTCAGTCCTCCGTTACCCGCGAAATTTATTGCCACAGAAACACACAGCATGCACCACGGCGGAGCAATTACGTTCTCGTAATAGACGGGATGCATAGACGGGAGGAACAGTGTTTACCTGGGTATAGATGCAATCGATGCTACGATTCCCCTCGATCGGCCAATTATCCTCGACGATGTCCACCAAGCCGCTAACCGTCTCGAGGTCTTGGACGCTATGATAACGTCTCGGCGACTCCGGCCAATCTAGGATGTTCAGGCGATCGGGATCGGCTCGGCTAGGTCTCGCGTACGGCAGAGGATCCGGGAATGTTGCCAGTCCCGATGGGATCGAGTGAAGACCGCAAGCGGATCGGGAGTAGTAAGACTTCGCTTCGTTGAATCTCTCGTACGAGTCCGAGAGATGCTGCTGGCTTTTTGACAGCCTGCAACGAACGTACGAGAACTACGAATCATTTCGAATCCTATTACAAGGAGACTACGGGGGCTACGTAGATGTAACGGGAAAATGCAGAATGCTAGAGATTAAAAAATCTTCCCGGGAGAGGTGCGGGAAACGTTGAAATGTTATACGAATAAAAAATTGTATTCGAAGAATCGATTCGAAATATTTCTCGAATATGATTTTATTCGGAGAATTTATTTGAAATATTATACGAATAAAAATTGTATTCGAAGAATCGATTCGAAATATTTCTCGAATAAAATTTCGTTCGAAGAATTTATTTGAAATATTATACGAATAAAAAATTGTATTCGAAGATTCAATTCGAAATATTTCTCGAATAAAATTTCGTTCGAAGAATTTATTTGAAATATTATACGAATAAAAAATTGTATTCGAAGATTCAATTCGAAATATTTCTCGAATAAAATTTCGTTCGAAGAATTTATTTGAAATATTATACGAATAAAAAATTGTATTCGAAGATTCAATTCGAAATATTTCTCGAATAAAATTTCGTTCGAAGAATTTATTTGAAATATTATACGAATAAAAAATTGTATTCGAAGATTCAATTCGAAATATTTCTCGAATAAAATTTCGTTCGAAGAATTTATTTGAAATATTTCTCGCATAAGATTTTATTCGAAGAATTTTCACCCCGAGCATGAATATTGTTATTTGATTATCCGGTGACTGGCAATTTGTTTGTCTCTATAACAAACGCGTCTAGAAAAACTGTGTTGAAAAATATGTTGAGAAAATTCATAAGTAAATTTATAAA